CATACATACATTACATACATACCATACATACATACAACAACATACATAAGCAACATCCATACATACATACAACAACATACCTACATCCATACATACAACATCATACATACATACATACATACATACATACATACATACATCCCTACATACATACCATACATAATACTACATACTCCATACATACATACATACATACATACATACATACAACTACTACATACATACATACATACATACCTACATAAACATACATACAACATAACATACATACATACATACATATCATACATACATACATACATACAACATACATACATACATACATACATACATACATACATACATCCATCATACATACATACATACACATACATACATACATACCTCCATACAACATACATACATACATACATACATACATACATACATGCATGCATGCCATGCCTGCATGCATTCATTCATGCAATGCATCCTGCATACATACAACATCCATACATACATACATACATAAATACATACATACATACATACAATCATACAACATACATACATGACCATACATACATACATACATACATACATACATACATACAACATACCTACATACATACAAGCATACCAACAATACATACAATACATACATACATACATTACATACATACATACACACATACATAACATACCTACATACATAATACAACATCTACCTACATAATACAATACTACATACATACATCATACATACATAATACATACATACATACAACATACTACCTACATACATACATACATACATAATCCATACACTACATACATACATACATACCATAATACATACAACATACATAAATACATCATACATACATACATACAATACATACATACCATACTACATACATACATACTCCAACAACAATACATACATACCTACATTCCACGTACATACATACATACATACATACATACATACATACATACATACATACATACATACATACATACATACATACATACATACATACATACATACCTACATACCTACATACCATACATACATACATACATACATACATACATACATACATACATACATACATACATACATACATACATACATACATACATACATACATACATACATACATACATACATACGTGGGGGAGAGCGAGAAAGGAAGTGAGAGAGAGAGGGAGCAAAGCAAAAATAGAGATGACGCGCCTGCAGCGAAGAATGCTGAATGAAGAATTCTTGTACGATATCTGATTCTTGTAAGTGTTGTATTGTATCTTATCGTTTCCGCAAGGAAGTCGCGTCTTTTTGACGATTCTACGTAGTACAGGGTGATTGAACGTCGTGACTCGCGCAATGTCGGCAGCGGTCGATGCGACGTTAGCGACACCATCGTCATCGTCAGCGTCCCCGTCTTCACGGACACCCAATCACGGCAGGTGGCGCTGGCGTCAGTGGTACACGATCACGCAATATAAACAGGAATCTCTGAGGAAGGAAGTGTGATCGATAAAGCTCTACACGCGACCACCGATATTGTTACTCGGCGCTTCGGCGCATGCGTGAGGTTGGGCAGGCCACTTATTGTGAGTTCTATTTCTTCGTGCGGAAGCACATTGTCGCCGCCAATTCATAGGCTCCCTGACTTTTCTCACACACACGCGCGAGCTCTCTCTCGCTCCCCCTCTTTCTCGTAGCTTCTTTTATGTGCGCGCTCTTTCTCTCTTTCTCTCTTTCGCCTCCTCTCTCGCCCAGCCTCCCGAGTGCAGTCTAGCACCGCGCTATTGCCTTGTCCTCATCGCTCCACTTGTGCTTACCTAATTGACGTAAAAGACGTAGTAGAAAGAACCGCCAAACCTGCCGTCACCTACTGATCGTCCTCGGAGCTGTACGACTAAGCTGCACAACACACACGGGTGCATGTAGGGAAGCCATCGTGGTGATCGGACCCCGTGATTCCTAACAATTGAGCTGATCGTGGAAAAGCGGACAGACGCCGTACAACAGGAGTAGCGGGCCGCATTAATTACGAGCGGAGGCTCAGTAATAGATCAGGTACGATGTGTAAACTAAACCGCCTCTGGTATCTCGTCTCATAAATTTCTGCGCGTGCGTGTGATAGATAGATAGATAGATAGATAGATAGATAGATAGATAGATAGATAGATAGATAGATAGATAGATAGATAGATAGATAGATAGATATATAGATATCTAGAAAGATAGATAGAAAAATAGATCGATTGATAGATAGATATGCGCTGAGTACGAGGTGGGAAGATTTTCAATTAGATTTTCTAAATATGTTTTTTTTTAACATTTAACCCAATAAATAACAAAAAGCAAAGTGTTAGAATCGAATCTGATGCGTATGAATGAAGCACGAAAAATTTCAGCCGGATTCGTGCATGCGCCTAGAAGTTATGCACAAACAAACAGAGCGACACTACTTAAATTATTATATAGATACAGCTCGGTATAGTCGAACCTCGGCTGATGCCTGCACCATCTGGCGGCGACGTCTTGTACTACGTTTAGGGCAACTTTGTTGCCGACGGAGAGGTCAAGACTGAGAAAAATAGGACGTCACCCGTAGCGATTGGCAGTCAAAAATGCAGGTGTAGCAATCACATAGAACAGCAAGCAATAATAACGAGCAGTATACAGTAATAACCCGTGAATAATAAGCAATAACCACGCATACATATAGCCAGGGTCCTATAGCTTGCAGAGACAGGCTGCGAAGGGCTGGCAAGGCAAGCAATAGCCACGCATACAGATAGCCAGGGTCTTAACTTGCAGAGACAGGCTATGAAAGGCTGGCAAGCCAAGCAATAACGACACTCTGTCATCCAACATGGCGACTGATCACGCGCGGGGGTTTACGTGTGGTAGCAAGAGGTAACATAATTATCAACGTTTCATCTTATCATTATCCTTATCTTTATCATCCGCGCCGCATGCTTTATCTACTACTAACACAAAACAACTAAATGTTTGTGCAAAATCAACTTCAGCTTCAACGCGTCAGTAAGTTATCATGTAACCAGCCTGATGATGATCACTAGAGTTAGTCGCATGTCATATACGTGTGAGTAGTTGTTAATATCATCATATATCCTCTTACGTGTTTATGATGTCCTGTCGTCATGCGGATAGAATAAAATGGCCGCTGTGCCGCCATTACCGCACCTAGCCCTGCATATCTATTGGTGCTTCGCATACACAACATACACTTTATTCATGCTAAATAACCACCGATCCAATGTCTAAACTCCACTCGAAACTTTTGCAAGCTAATTATATATAAGTGATGCGCATTATTCTTAAAACTAGTCGGATCCCGTTTCCAACACAAAATGGTGGACCGGTCACCATGGCTACGCCATGCACATGACGCGATGACGTCAAATTAAGACCAATCTCACGTCTCGGGCTTTCTAGACGTCCACGAAGCATCTACCTTGCGTGAATAATGCAAATTACTGTACTATGGGGCCGAATTTTACCGCAAAAAATCAAAAGAAAGTCTTTACCAGAGATGAAGTGGTGCAACATTTTGTTGCCATATATAGGGCGGCACACGAGCGCGTGCAACCCCTGTCGTGCAATCCCTTCACCCGCACGTAGCCTTCGCGCGTGACGGCGGCGATCCACCGGCGCAGCACAAGCCGCTAATCGTAACTGCCTTTGGCGAACACGTTATCTGTCGAACCGACTAAGCTGTTTGTAATAACCGTTATTAAATATACTCGCGAAATGGCCGCCTCCGGCGGCCATATTCGCTCGTTACGCTGATGAGACTACGATGATTTCTCTAAATCCCGGCCTGATTCATAGTAATCTTTCAGTAAAATATTGACTTGATACGAAGACAAGGATCCTGTTACTAACATAAAATTTTATGTCCTGGTATTTTCATTTCTATATAAAACACTTTGTACACACCTTCTAATCCATTGTTGTTCTCTTCAAATTAAGGCTAATATAATATACGGAACCCGCTTAATACGATTATTTTTCTTTGGCCCGTCAGTTTCGTACTAAAGGGGTGCGACTGTAGTAATGAATAGTAGTAATTGAATGAGGAGTTTAGGCTTTGCAGTAATTATACCACTGTACGTTGGCTAGGTTACATGTTTTAAGGAAACACCGCCGCAACTTTGCTAGTAGACGAATGGGTTTTGGCTTTTAGGGTATACTGCCGTACCTCGGCACCTAACCCTATGACGACACCGATATTTTATGATGACGACAACGCCACCTGGTGGATGCAGGCGTCGACGATGCAGCCGGACCACGTGGCGGCGGCGGCGGCGGCGGTGCCGACGTTGATGATATTCGTGCTCGCACTGCAAGGCGTCTGCATCGTCTGCACGAATCTTCCCGTACTCGCCGTGCTCGTCGCTTCCAGCGAGCTACGTGGCACCACCTACGTCTTCATCACCAACCTGACGCTAGCCGATTGCCTGGTCGGCGTCGCCGCGCTGCTGCAGGCTATCGTCTACGCGCGCGGGCTCAGCAACTCAGGCTACTGGTGCCTGCTGTGTGAGAGCCTAGCCGTCGTCGCCTGTGGCGCTTCGATCGTCAGCTTCTTCTTCGTGACGCTGGAGCGTTACGTGACGGTGTTCAACCCGCTGCGTCACGACGCTATTGTGACGCGGCGGCGGATGATAGCCGCTGTTGTGTACACGTGGGCGTCTAGCGGCGGTCTCATGATCGCCGCCGCCATCTTGCTGTACGTCGACGCACCGCGGCGCCACTGTCTGACGCTGCACGGCGGCTTCGGCAGCTTCTGGTTCGCGCTGATCGCGATGACGATGACGATGATGTTGGCGATGCTGATGATGTACGGCAGGATGGCGAGAGAGAGTCTGCGACACCTGCGCAACATGGCCGCCGAGCACTTGTCCCTGCGCGTCTCCGTAACCATGGCGTCGGCGGTGGCGCCCGCGCAAGCGGCGCGCAAGCGAGAGAAAGTGAAGCAGACGCTGCGGTTGTTAAAGACGCTGGCGTTGGTAATCGGACTATTCTGCATCTGTTGGTTGCCCCTCAACGTAGTAGTGATTACGTTTCAGCTCTGTCCGCGACATATCTGCGCCGCATTGCAACCGGATAGCATGATAATACTGTACAGCGCCGCGATGGGCTATCTCAATTCGTTCCTGAACGTCTTCGTGTATGCATTTCGCATGCGGGTGATTATTAGCGAGTTGAGAAAGATGTTGAGAGTTCCCTGTGCCAACAGAGATATTGTTCGCCCAGCAGCCTAGAGGTCGCTGCATGCAACCCGAGGGGCTAGATACGGTTGGCTTCATAGAGATACTTCTATATTACACCGAGCTTTTAACAAAGACCTGTTTTCTGTATATATAAGGACTCTCTACTCGCCACGCATGCGCTCGGAGGTTATGACTGTGTAAACTCAAGAATATACAGTAATTGCTATGATGTAGTATGTATCATAATAAATGTGTGGCAGCGTAAACATCGGGTGTAGTAAACATTTTATTATGTAGTAAACATTTCATGCATGAAATGTGCGACAGCAGCGACACGTATTACTGTTCGGGTTTTACTAACATGATTGTTGTGACCTGCTAACAACAACATCACGCGATTGTCAATGGAACATCGCTCTGGGATTAGCGCGTGCGCTGTACTCTCACCTGTTTACGTATGCGACTAACTATATGTAATGAGAGTGAAAATATTATTCCTGTAACTACTAGTGGTATATTAACGTACTTCTATCTTGAAACAAGATACACAATTAGAGACCCGATTATATATTATCCGACCTTCGGTTATCCGATATTCCGTTTTATTCGACATAGTTAATCTGCGTGCTGTATAGATTGCTAGCTAGGTATGGGTAACGAGTAATTTTTTACTCGTAAATAATTACTTAAAGCTGAAATATTACTTTTTTGCTTGTTAGGTGACAGACAAAGACTCGATAACAGTAAACAGTAAAAGTTTCGATCAACTTATAGCTTTTAACGATTATCGTAGGATGAAACTATGTAGGCCTAACAGAGACACAAAAACACGTCCACTCGAAATGACAGCTGCGCCAACGCCGACAGCTGCATGGCGCCAACTCAGCTATATCTAATGAGAGTGAAAATATTATTCTTGTAACTATCAGTGTTATACACGTACTTCTATCTTGAAACAAGATGCACAATTAGAGGCCCGATTATATTATCCGACTTTCGGTTATCCGACATTCCGTTTTATTCGACATGGTTAATCCGCGTGCTGTATGCGCACGTGTACGGTGAAATACTGCGTATACATATATACATGCTACATTGCACAATTACATGCTGCTTTGTCGCTCAGTGCGTCGCATACAGACATTGATCCACTGTTAGCCCGTCATCTCCACTGCAAATGTTGTGATTATATTTCATCTACTATCTTTCACTACAATTCTATTTTATCAGCGATTATTTTCACTCCACCTCCGTTTCCACAAAGTGTTTCACTTTATTAATTGCCCATTCTCCCTGAAATCCTAATAACGTAGCATAGATTATAGTCTAAGATCTCTGCTCATGCATGCGCAAGCAATCTATATTATAAGAGAGGCGAGGCCGATTTTCTGAAGCGGTAATCTTCGCCGTGGTGAGCATCAAGCCCACGCCATCGATCTCAGTGTATAGCCCGTGTGTCGGACACCAACATAGGCTTATCCATATTTGTTAAATCCACCCATATTTGTCGATATAATGACGATAAATAGGCCTTAATACGGGCAATAATTTTAGCAGTGGGGGCACTGGGGTGATGTCAGAAAAATAGAACAGCCGAATTCTCGCGAATGTAGCCATCTAGCAGACAAAGACCAAAACTTTGTTAATACCAGGTGAAACTATGTCAAATTTATACATTTTTTTATTATGCACTCAGTTGTCAGTTGAGTCTCAAAAACAGCACAACACACACTTTTAGCGGTTCATTTTTGTTCATTTGTATTTTTTAAATTGTAATTTGTCTGTGTATACATTCGAATATAATGTATAACATGGTATAAAAAATTAATTTGTTAAAATCAGGTTCTATTCATCTTTTTGATAATGTCATCTATGGTGACTTCACTGGTGCAGATCTCTGCCAAATTAACCAACTAATTTGGTTAAAATGAGGTGATAGCCATACGTTTGGAGAAATATTTACTTTTTTAAATCTGTTCATTATTTTACGATGAAAGTGACCCTGAACTGATACCGTGATATATTGACGAGTTTAGTTTATTGACCTATGTATTTAGTTTAGTTTAGTTTTCATGTAATATTTTTATGTAAAGCGAATTCCAATGATAAGAGAGACACGTGACAGATGTCACCAATTGTGTATTTAAAATGCAATTTTAGCGCAATTTTATAACAATGTTGTATATCCAAAAGCTTTAACTACACAGAATTATACAGGGGCGTAGCAAGAGTAAAATGGATGTGTACACACACAGGCGGGGGGTCTGGAGGTCTTCGACTAGAACATTTTGAAAATGTAGATCGCAGAAGATGGTATTTGAGGCACTTTTGAGTAAATGTACAGCCTTTATTCTGGCTACGACAATTATCTTTTTAGTAGAACTTCCCTTCGTGAGCCACAAGATGTGATTACGAAAGATCGCTCTAACTAATCATGTATTTTTTGTTTTATTATCAAGACATGCAATAAACTAACGCACATTCTTAAACTCTCTCTTTCTTTCTCTCCCTCTCTGTGTGCGTGCGTTCGTGCGTGAGTGCATGCGTGCGAGCGAGCGTATGCGTGTGCGGGTGCGTGTGGGCGCGACGTGTGTGTGCTCAAACACACACATCACTCATTGCACATCACATCACATCACGGCATTGTTTAAGTCGCGTTCATTATTCAATGTGTAGGGGTGACCACCGCTGGGATAAGGGCGACAGCAAAACTCTTTCTTAAAATTGTGAAAAAGCTGAAAAAGAGTTGTAACCTGCTTTGCCACTCAATTATATAATTTAACCTATGCATCAGGTGACGTTTTGTACAGCCGCGCGACTATGTAAACATATTGTTAGTCCAACAGAGGGGGTAGCTCTCTTTCTCGCGCGCGCGCTCTCTCTCTCTCTCTCTCTCTCTCTCTCTCGCGCTCTCTCTCTCTT